TTCAAGCCACTGCAAGGAAATCCAGCCTCCTTTCAAGTTAGGGCTTCTCGCTGTATATTCCACTTGAGTTAGCAAACTCGGGGTCCCTCCCTCATAACTATTGCTAAGAGTAGCTTCTTCTTTAGGTGCTTCTGGAAAGTTGGCATACGTCTGGAGCCTAGGACAGGTAATCAGGTCTCATCTCGAGACGATTTGTTGTACACAGAGCATTTCTCGAGTTGCTGGGCTGATATTGGTGTTCTTCCAGACTTGGGACAGTGTCCTCGGGGAATCTCTGGAGTTGCCTGAAGGAAGTCAAGCCTCAGCTCGTGTTTAATGGGGAATGGCATATGGCTCTGCAGTCAATGCAGGGGAATCTAGCCTCATCTCGAGTTGATTTGGGCACATGGAGCTGCTTTGCGTTGCTGGTATGACCTCAGGGTCCGTCTAGACTTGTGACAGTGTCCTTGCAGACTGTCTCGAGATCCATTAAGCAATTCGAAGCTCCTTACATGTTTGATGGGGATCTCGGAATTGCTCTGCATGGAATGCAGGGGAATCGGGCCTCATCTCGCATCTAGGGGGATGCCACATGGTTTTTCTCGAGTTGCGTTGTGGACCTGGGGTATGTTCTCGAGTAACGGCGGGGATGGCACTTCAAAACACATGTTTAATCAGTGACATCAGGACTCCTGTCTAGTAACGAGGGACACCTCATGAATCTCTTTGAGGCTTGACAGGGCAAAAAGGACGCTTCTCGAGGTGAGGCAGGGCACCAAGGACCCTTTCCATTAGCCACAGAGATATTGGGATTCCTAACATTGTTCAAGAGGAGTCATGCCTCGTCACCCTTTGAAGCAGTGATCTCCGCGTGCCTCTTGATGAGTCAAAGGGATGTGAGGCATTCCGTCAAAATGAGGCAGGGACCTAGATCTTTCTCTAACGTCTCGACAGGGGATTCAGACATCCCTTCATGTTGTGACATGAAAGACGAGCCTGTATTCACGCCACTGCAAGGAAATCCGGCCTCCTTTCAAGTTAGGGCTTCTCGCTGTATATTCCATTTGAGGCAGAAAACTCGGGGTCCCTCCCACATAACTATTGTTGAGAGAAGCCTCCTCCTGAGGTGCTTCTGGAAAGTTGGCATATGTCCTGGGCCTAAGCCAGGGAATCAGCTCTCATCTCCATACGATGTGGGGTACACGGAGCATTCCTCGAGTTGCTCTGCTGAAGTTGGTATTCTTCTAGACTTCGGACAGTGTCCTTAGGGAAACTCTGGGATTGCGTGAAGGAAGTCGTGCCATTGGTCGTCTTTAATGTGGAACGGGGGATGGCTCTGGAGTCAATGCAGGGGAATCTGGCCTCATCTGGAGTTGATTTGGGGCACATGGAGCTGCTTTGCGTTGCTTGTTTGACCTCAGGGTCCGTCTAGACTTGTGACAGTGTTCTTGGGAACTGTCTTGAGATCCATTAACCAAGTTGAAGCTCCTTACAGGTTTGATGGAGATCTCGGAATGGCTCTGTATGCAATGCAAGGGAATCGGGCCTCATCTCGCCTCTAGGGGGAAGTCACATGGTTTTTCTCGATTTTCGGCGGCGACCTGGGGAATGTTCTCGAGTTACGGCGGGGATAACCCTTCAAAACACGTGTTTATCTAGTGATGTCCGGACTCCTGTCTAGTAACGAGGGACACCTCAGGAATCTCTTTGAGGCTTGGCAGTGTAAAAGGAACACTTCTCGAGGTGAGGCAGGGCACCCAAGGTCCCTTCCCAGTAGTCACAGGCATTTGGGGATTCCTAAAAATGTTCAAGAGGAGTCAGGCATTGTAACCCTTTGAAGTAATGATCTCCGAGTGCCTCTCGATGTGTCAAAGGGATGTGAAGCATTCCGTCAAAATGAGGCAGGGACCTAGATCTTTCTCTAAGGTCTCGACAGGGGATTCAGATATCCCTTCATGTTTTGACATGAAAGACGAGCCTGTATTCACGCACTGCAAGGAAATCCGGCCTCCGTTCAATTTAGGGCTTCTCACTGTATATTCTATTTGAGGCAGCAAACTCGGGGTCCCTCCCACATACCTATTGCTGAGGAAGCCTCCTCTTTCAGTGTTTCTCGAAAGTTGGCATAAGTGTTGAGCCTAAGCCAGGGAATCAGCTCTCATCTCGAGATGATTTCTGGTACACGGAGCATTCCTCGAGTTGCTGTGCTGAAGCTGGTGTTCTTCTAGACTTGGACAGTGTCCTTGGGGAATCTCTGGAATTGTGTGAAGGAAGTCGAGCCACTGGTCGTGTTTAATGGGGAACGGGGGATGGCTCTGGAGTCAATGCAGGGGAATCTGGCCTCATCTCGAGTTGATTTGGGGCACATGGAGCTGCTTTGCGTTGCTGGTGTGACCTCAGAGTCCGTCTAGACTGGTGACAGTGTTCTTGGGGACTGTCTTGAGATCCATTAACCAAGTCGAAGCTCCTTACATGTTTGATGGAGATCACAGAATGGCTCTGCATGCAATGCAGGGGAATCGGGCCTCATCTCGCCTCTAGGGGGAAGTCACATGGTTTTTCTCGATTTTCGGCGGCGACCTGGGTTATGATCTCGAGTTACGGCGGGGATGGCCCTTCAAAACACGTCTTTAATCAGTGACCTCAGAACTCCTGTCTACTAACGAGGGGCACCTCAGGAATCTCTTTGAGGCTTGGCAGGGCAAAAAGGGACTCTTCTCGAGGTGAGGCAGGGTAACCAAGGACACTTTCCAGGAGCCACAGGGATTTTGGGATTCCTAACATTGTTCAAGAGGAGTCAGGCATCGTGACATTTTGAAGCAGTGAACTCTGCCTGCCTCTCGGGGTGCCAAATGAATGTGAGGCATTCCGTCACAATGACGCAGGGACCTAGAGCTTTCTTTAAGGTCTCGACAGGGGACTCAGACATCCCTTCATGTTGTGAGATGAAAGACGAGCCTGTATTCAAGCCACTGCAAGGAAATCCGGCATCCTTTCAAGTTAGGGCTTCTCGCTGTATATTCCACTTGAGGCAGCAAACTCGGGGTCCCTCCCACATACCTATTGTTGAGGAAGCCTCCTCTTTCGGTGTTTCTGGAAAGTTGGCATAAGCGTTGAGTCTAAGCCAGGGAATCAGCTCTCATCTCGAGACAATTTGGGGTACACGGAGCATTCCTCGAGTTGCTGTGCTGAAGTTGGTGTTCTTCTAGACTTGGGACAGTGTTCTCGGGGAATCTCTGGAGTTGCCTGAAGGAAGTCGAGCCAATGGTCATGTTTAATGGGGAACGGGGAATTTCTCTGGAGTCAATGCAGTGGAATAGATCCTGATCTCGAGTTGATTTGGGGCTCGTGGAGCTGCTTTGCATTGCTGGGGTGACCTCAGGGTCCGTCTAGACTTGTGACAGTATTCTTGGGAACTTTCTCGGTATCCATTAAGCAAGTCGAAGCTTCTGACTTGTTTGATGGGGATCATGGAATTGCTCTGCATGCATTGCAGGGGAATCCGGCCTCATCTCGCATCTAGGGGGAAGTCTCATGGTTTTTCTCGAGTTGCGGTGGGGACCTGGGGTATGTTCTCGAGTTACGGCAGGGATGGCCCTTCAACACAAGGGGTGATTCAGTGAGGTCAGGACTCCTGTCTAGTAACGAGGGAAAACTCAGGAAACTCTATGAGGCTTGGCAGGGTAAAAGGGACGCTTCTCGAGGTGAGGCATGGCACCCAAGGACCCTTTCCAGTAGCCACAGGGATTTTGGGATTCCTATCAATGTTCAAGAAGAGTCAGGCATCGTCACCTTTTGAAGCAGTGAACTCCACGTGCCTCTCGAGGTGTCAAATGGATGTTAGGCATTCCGTCAAAATGAGGCAGGGACCTAGAGCTTTCTCTAAGGTTTCGACTGGGGTTTCAGACATCCCTTCATGTTGTGAGATGAAAGACGAGCCTGTATTCAAGCCACTGCAAGGAAATCCAGCCTCCTTTCAAGTTAGGGCTTCTCGCTGTATATTCCACTTGAGTTAGCAAACTCGGGGTCCCTCCCTCATAACTATTGCTAAGAGTAGCTTCTTCTTTAGGTGCTTCTGGAAAGTTGGCATACGTCTGGAGCCTAGGACAGGTAATCAGGTCTCATCTCGAGACGATTTGTTGTACACAGAGCATTTCTCGAGTTGCTGGGCTGATGTTTGTGTTCTTCCAGACTTGGGACAGTGTCCTCGGGGAATCTCTGGAGTTGCCTGAAGGAAGTCAAGCCTCAGCTCGTGTTTAATGGGGAATCGCATATGGCTCTGCAGTCAATGCAGGGGAATCTAGCCTCATCTCGAGTTGATTTGGGCACATGGAGCTGCTTTGCGTTGCTGGTATGACCTCAGGGTCCGTCTAGACTTGTGACAGTGTCCTTGCAGACTGTCTCGAGATCCATTAAGCAATTCGAAGCTCCTTACATGTTTGATGGGGATCTCGGAATTGCTCTGCATGGAATGCAGGGGAATCGGGCCTCATCTCACATCTAGGGGGATGCCACATGGTTTTTCTCGAGTTGCGTTGTGGACCTGGGGTATGTTCTCGAGTAACGGCGGGGATGGCACTTCAAAACACATGTTTAATCAGTGACATTAGGACTCCTGTCTAGTAACGAGGGACACCTCATGAATCTCTTTGAGGCTTGACAGGGCAAAAAGGACGCTTCTCGAGGTGAGGCAGGGCACCAAGGACCCTTTCCATTAGCCACAGAGATATTGGGATTCCTAACATTGTTCAAGAGGAGTCATGCCTCGTCACCCTTTGAAGCAGTGATCTCCGCGTGCCTCTTGATGAGTCAAAGGGATGTGAGGCATTCCGTCAAAATGAGGCAGGGACCTAGATCTTTCTCTAACGTCTCGACAGGGGATTCAGACATCCCTTCATGTTGTGACATGAAAGACGAGCCTGTATTCACGCCACTGCAAGGAAATCTGGCCTCCTTTCAAGTTAGGGCTTCTCGCTGTATATTTCATTTGAGGCAGAAAACTCGGGGTCCCTCCCACATACCTATTGTTGAGAGAAGCGTCCTCCTGAGGTGCTTCTGGAAAGTTGGCATACGTCCTGGGCCTAAGAAAGGGAATCAGCTCTCATCTCCATACGATGTGGGGTACACGGAGCATTCCTCGAGTTGCTCTGCTGAAGTTGGTATTCTTCTAGACTTCGGACAGTGTCCTTAGGGAAACTCTGGGATTGCGTGAAGGAAGTCGTGCCATTGGTCGTCTTTAATGTGGAACGGGGGATGGCTCTGGAGTCAATGCAGGGGAATCTGGCCTCCTCTCGAGTTGATTTGGGGCACATGGAGCTGCTTTGCGTTGCTTGTTTGACCTCAGGGTCCGTCTAGACTTGTGACAGTGTTCTTGGGAACTGTCTTGAGATCCATTAACCAAGTTGAAGCTCCTTACAGGTTTGATGGAGATCTCGGAATGGCTCTGTATGCAATGCAAGGGAATCGGGCCTCATCTCGCCTCTAGGGGGAAGTCACATGGTTTTTCTCGATTTTCGGCGGCGACCTGGGGAATGTTCTCGAGTTACGGCGGGGATAACCCTTCAAAACACGTGTTTATCTAGTGATGTCCGGACTCCTGTCTAGTAACGAGGGACACCTCAGGAATCTCTTTGAGGCTTGGCAGTGTAAAAGGAACACTTCTCGAGGTGAGGCAGGGCACCCAAGGTCCCTTCCCAGTAGTCACAGGCATTTGGGGATTCCTAAAAATGTTCAAGAGGAGTCAGGCATTGTAACCCTTTGAAGTAATGATCTCCGAGTGCCTCTCGATGTGTCAAAGGGATGTGAAGCATTCCGTCAAAATGAGGCAGGGACCTAGATCTTTCTCTAAGGTCTCGACAGGGGATTCAGATATCCCTTCATGTTTTGACATGAAAGACGAGCCTGTATTCACGCACTGCAAGGAAATCCGGCCTCCGTTCAATTTAGGGCTTCTCACTGTATATTCTATTTGAGGCAGCAAACTCGGGGTCCCTCCCACATACCTATTGCTGAGGAAGCCTCCTCTTTCAGTGTTTCTCGAAAGTTGGCATAAGTGTTGAGCCTAAGCCAGGGAATCAGCTCTCATCTCGAGATGATTTCTGGTACACGGAGCATTCCTCGAGTTGCTGTGCTGAAGCTGGTGTTCTTCTAGACTTGGACAGTGTCCTTGGGGAATCTCTGGAATTGTGTGAAGGAAGTCGAGCCACTGGTCGTGTTTAATGGGGAACGGGGGATGGCTCTGGAGTCAATGCAGCGGAATCTGGCCTCATCTCGAGTTGATTTGGGGCACATGGAGCTGCTTTGCGTTGCTGGTGTGACCTCAGAGTCCGTCTAGACTGGTGACAGTGTTCTTGGGGACTGTCTTGAGATCCATTAACCAAGTCGAAGCTCCTTACATGTTTGATGGAGATCACAGAATGGCTCTGCATGCAATGCAGGGGAATCGGGCCTCATCTCGCCTCTAGGGGGAAGTCACATGGTTTTTCTCGATTTTCGGCGGCGACCTGGGTTATGATCTCGAGTTACGGCGGGGATGGCCCTTCAAAACACGTCTTTAATCAGTGACCTCAGAACTCCTGTCTACTAACGAGGGACACCTCAGGAATCTCTTTGAGGCTTGGCAGGGCAAAAAGGGACTCTTCTCGAGGTGAGGCAGGGTAACCAAGGACACTTTCCAGGAGCCACAGGGATTTTGGGATTCCTAACATTGTTCAAGAGGAGTCAGGCATCGTGACATTTTGAAGCAGTGAACTCTGCCTGCCTCTCGGGGTGCCAAATGAATGTGAGGCATTCCGTCACAATGACGCAGGGACCTAGAGCTTTCTTTAAGGTCTCGACAGGGGACTCAGACATCCCTTCATGTTGTGAGATGAAAGACGAGCCTGTATTCAAGCCACTGCAAGGAAATCCGGCATCCTTTCAAGTTAGGGCTTCTCGCTGTATATTCCACTTGAGGCAGCAAACTCGGGGTCCCTCCCACATACCTATTGTTGAGGAAGCCTCCTCTTTCGGTGTTTCTGGAAAGTTGGCATAAGCGTTGAGTCTAAGCCAGGGAATCAGCTCTCATCTCGAGACAATTTGGGGTACACGGAGCATTCCTCGAGTTGCTGTGCTGAAGTTGGTGTTCTTCTAGACTTGGGACAGTGTTCTCGGGGAATCTCTGGAGTTGCCTGAAGGAAGTCGAGCCAATGGTCATGTTTAATGGGGAACGGGGAATTTCTCTGGAGTCAATGCAGTGGAATAGATCCTGATCTCGAGTTGATTTGGGGCTCGTGGAGCTGCTTTGCATTGCTGGGGTGACCTCAGGGTCCGTCTAGACTTGTGACAGTATTCTTGGGAACTTTCTCGGTATCCATTAAGCAAGTCGAAGCTTCTGACTTGTTTGATGGGGATCATGGAATTGCTCTGCATGCATTGCAGGGGAATCCGGCCTCATCTCGCATCTAGGGGGAAGTCTCATGGTTTTTCTCGAGTTGCGGTGGGGACCTGGGGTATGTTCTCGAGTTACGGCAGGAATGGACCTTCAACACAAGGGGTGATTCAGTGAGGTCAGGACTCCTGTCTAGTAACGAGGGAAAACTCAGGAAACTCTATGAGGCTTGGCAGGGTAAAAGGGACGCTTCTCGAGGTGAGGCATGGCACCCAAGGACCCTTTCCAGTAGCCACAGGGATTTTGGGATTCCTATCAATGTTCAAGAAGAGTCAGGCATCGTCACCTTTTGAAGCAGTGAACTCCACGTGCCTCTCGAGGTGTCAAATGGATGTTAGGCATTCCGTCAAAATGAGGCAGGGACCTAGAGCTTTCTCTAAGGTTTCGACTGGGGATTCAGACATCCCTTCATGTTGTGAGATGAAAGACGAGCCTGTATTCAAGCCACTGCAAGGAAATCCAGCCTCCTTTCAAGTTAGGGCTTCTCGCTGTATATTCCACTTGAGTTAGCAAACTCGGGGTCCCTCCCTCATAACTATTGCTAAGAGTAGCTTCTTCTTTAGGTGCTTCTGGAAAGTTGGCATACGTCTGGAGCCTAGGACAGGTAATCAGGTCTCATCTCGAGACGATTTGTTGTACACAGAGCATTTCTCGAGTTGCTGGGCTGATGTTGGTGTTCTTCCAGACTTGGGACAGTGTCCTCGGGGAATCTCTGGAGTTGCCTGAAGGAAGTCAAGCCTCAGCTCGTGTTTAATGGGGAATGGCGTATGGCTCTGCAGTCAATGCAGGGGAATCTAGCCTCATCTCGAGTTGATTTGGGCACATGGAGCTGCTTTGCGTTGCTGGTATGACCTCAGGGTCCGTCTAGACTTGTGACAGTGTCCTTGCAGACTGTCTCGAGATCCATTAAGCAATTCGAAGCTCCTTACATGTTTGATGGGGATCTCGGAATTGCTCTGCATGGAATGCAGGGGAATCGGGCCTCATCTCACATCTAGGGGGATGCCACATGGTTTTTCTCGAGTTGCGTTGTGGACCTGGGGTATGTTCTCGAGTAACGGCGGGGATGGCACTTCAAAACACATGTTTAATCAGTGACATCAGGACTCCTGTCTAGTAACGAGGGACACCTCATGAATCTCTTTGAGGCTTGACAGGGCAAAAAGGACGCTTCTCGAGGTGAGGCAGGGCACCAAGGACCCTTTCCATTAGCCACAGAGATATTGGGATTCCTAACATTGTTCAAGAGGAGTCATGCCTCGTCACCCTTTGAAGCAGTGATCTCCGCGTGCCTCTTGATGAGTCAAAGGGATGTGAGGCATTCCGTCAAAATGAGGCAGGGACCTAGATCTTTCTCTAACGTCTCGACAGGGGATTCAGACATCCCTTCATGTTGTGACATGAAAGACGAGCCTGTATTCACGCCACTGCAAGGAAATCTGGCCTCCTTTCAAGTGAGGGCTTCTCGCTGTATATTCCATTTGAAGCAGAAAACTCGGGGTCCCTCCCACATACCTATTGTTGAGAGAAGCGTCCTCCTGAGGTGCTTCTGGAAAGTTGGCATACGTCCTGGGCCTAAGCCAGGGAATCAGCTCTCATCTCCATACGATGTGGGGTACACGGAGCATTCCTCGAGTTGCTCTGCTGAAGTTGGTATTCTTCTAGACTTCGGACAGTGTCCTTAGGGAAACTCTGGGATTGCGTGAAGGAAGTCGTGCCATTGGTCTTCTTTAATGTGGAACGGGGGATGGCTCTGGAGTCAATGCAGGGGAATCTGGCCTCATCTCGAGTTGATTTGGGGCACATGGACCTGCTTTGCGTTGCTTGTTTGACCTCAGGGTCCGTCTAGACTTGTGACAGTGTTCTTGGGAACTGTCTTGAGATCCATTAACCAAGTTGAAGCTCCTTACAGGTTTGATGGAGATCTCGGAATGGCTCTGTATGCAATGCAAGGGAATCGGGCCTCATCTCGCCTCTAGGGGGAAGTCACATGGTTTTTCTCGATTTTCGGCGGCGACCTGGGGAATGTTCTCGAGTTACGGCGGGGATAACCCTTCAAAACACGTGTTTATCTAGTGATGTCCGGACTCCTGTCTAGTAACGAGGGACACCTCAGGAATCTCTTTGAGGCTTGGAAGTGTAAAAGGAACACTTCTCGAGGTGAGGCAGGGCACCCAAGGTCCCTTCCCAGTAGTCACAGGCATTTGGGGATTCCTAAAAATGTTCAAGAGGAGTCAGGCATTGTAACCCTTTGAAGTAATGATCTCCGAGTGCCTCTCGATGTGTCAAAGGGATGTGAAGCATTCCGTCAAAATGAGGCAGGGACCTAGATCTTTCTCTAAGGTCTCGACAGGGGATTCAGATATCCCTTCATGTTTTGACATGAAAGACGAGCCTGTATTCACGCACTGCAAGGAAATCCGGCCTCCGTTCAATTTAGGGCTTCTCACTGTATATTCTATTTGAGGCAGCAAACTCGGGGTCCCTCCCACATACCTATTGCTGAGGAAGCCTCCTCTTTCAGTGTTTCTCGAAAGTTGGCATAAGTGTTGAGCCTAAGCCAGGGAATCAGCTCTCATCTCGAGATGATTTCTGGTACACGGAGCATTCCTCGAGTTGCTGTGCTGAAGCTGGTGTTCTTCTAGACTTGGA